TTTTATTATTTATAATTTCTGTACTAGTAAGAGGAACCTAGCTAAAAACATAAATTCTCAAATCAGAGACAACACGGTAACTGTGTCCAGGGCTCTTTGGGTTGTAAGTAAGTAGCAGAAATCCAACTAAAAAAAAGAAAAAAACAAGAAATCCAACCAAAAAATTAGCATAAGCAAAAAAGGGAATTTATTGGCCCCTGGGAGCCTTCACACAGGCCCAGGGCGGTGATCATCACGTGTCTGTCTATATCTCTGCTTTCTGCTTTCCTGTTTTTCTCTTTTTATTTTTGGCTTGATTCTCTCTTGTTCTCCCTCTTGATGGCATGACAGTTCCTTGAAACATGTTCTTCTGGGCTGTGCTCCCTCCCTTGACCCCTGGCATGTTCCTCCTCCCCCTGGCTTCACATAACAAAGTCCTTGGGAAGAGCATTGACTTCGGCCTGAGTCACTTGCCCACCCTGACTAGTGCCGGTGAGCAGGGGAATGATGGAGTCCTGTGATGAGCCAGGCCTGGGTCACAGAGTCACACCTTTGGAGAGAAGGGAGGTGTAGCGGGTGGGAGAGAGTGCAAGCACAACCACAGGGCTTGAGTGAGTGGGGAGCACTTCCCCAGAGACGTGGCACAAGGGGGAGCAGTTCAGTCTAAAGAAGAAAAAGATACCAGGTAGACAAAAACAACAGGTGTCCACTGGAGGGCTTTGCTTCAAATATAAGCCAAGTTTGTGTCTTTAATATGAAAGGAATTAAGTAGTGGAGGAAGTGGATTTGAGTCAAGCAGTAAGTACCCTACATTTAGGGCAGGGAAGGTAAACATTTGTCTGATATCCCCAAGATTTATAATAGGTAATTATTTATGCGTAGAGTCTTACCCCAGATGTTTCACAAAAGGATTAACGCCTGTTAAGTGATAAGGAATATCAACTTCATATATTTGAACATGTATTTTTCCAGGAAAAGAAAACCTTTTGTATTTTTCCCCAGCTTTATTGAAATGTAATTGACTTATAACACTGTGTAAGTCTAAGGTGTACAACATGATTTGTTGCCTGAATGTATTGCAAAATGTTTACCACAATGACATTAGTTAACACATCCATCATCATCTCAACTCATCACACGTATTTATTTTTGAGGCAATTTCAGTGTGCCAGATTCTTTCCCCTGTGCCTGCTGAGACAGACTTTTAGGAGTTGCTCTCATCAAGGAATGCATGCGCCAGATGCGCTCATCTTAAGAGAATCCATCCATTTTAATATTGACTTACAGTAGTGCCTAGATATTTACGTGATTAATAAGTGACATTTCTATTTTGTAAAAAAAAAAAAAATGGAATTACAGACCATAGAGGAAAAGATGATAAGTTGATCCAAAATACCTACTGACAGAAGAATTCGGGCTATAAAAAATACCTAAAATATTTAGCCAGAGATTTCTTTTCCCCCTCCTTCCCTCCCCTTCTTTTTTTATTTTTTACTGTGATATATAACACTTTTAAAAAATGTTTTACTGTGGTAGATAACACAGAAAAACGTATCGCCCAATGGTGTATCACCAACTCAACCCTCCTGAGTACCGTCCAGGTCAGGCAGCAGAGCGCAGTCAGCCTGTCAGCCGGTGCCCTCCCCACACTGCTTGCTCCACCCCCTCAAAGTCCTCAGCGATCCCAACTTTTATGTTACTAACTTCCTGGCTTTTCATCTTAGTTTCACCACCGAAACTCACATCTGCACAGCTTAGTTTTGCCTGGTTTTTGAGCTTTCCAGAAGTGGAATCATTGAGTATGTGCCCTTTTGGGTCTTGCTTCATTGACTCCACATTACAGTTGTTGTCTACAGCCTTTGTCAGGAGTAAAGGCAGGGTGGGAACGCACAGCTTTTTGATAACTGACTCACAGCAACCGTATGAAGTTACAGATTTTAGGTTATTAATCGAATCCTGTGAGGGACCTTAAGAGTCACAATGAGACAGATGAAGTATTTATTTTTTAAGAACTCTTGCAGTTGGTACCCTGCCTTCCTGAGAGGAACGATCACCATGCTGTTTTATGCCATTCCAGGGAGAAACACTTGTGCTGGCTGCATTTCTAGGGCTGCACCAGAGCTCAAGGCTGTCAGCCAGTCCTGCCCAGAAGTGCCTCTCTCACAGGCAGGACTTGGAGTATTTCATGCTGGTGGAGTGGGTTTGCTGGCTTAGTCTTAGAATTAAAGTAGGTGTCTTTTTTTCTTTTAAGATTTATTTATTTATTGGAGAGAGAGGGAGAGTGTGCATATGAGTGTGTGCACATGGGGGGAGGGACAGAGGGAAAGAATCTCGAGCAGACTCCCTGCTGAGCATGCAGCTCAACTTAGGGCTCAATCCCACAACCCCAAGATCATGACCTGAGCCGAAGACAAGCATTGGATGCCTAACCAACTGAGCCGCCCAGGCGCCCCTACACATAAGCCTTTTGTTGGTGTTTCTAGATGCATATTCTAGCTTTCAATGCTTTTGATATAATTTTGCTTATTTATCTTCACTGAATATTTTACTGTCTCTTTTCCAGATGTCTTTATGTATATGTTTACATACTGTCTTTTCCTTTTTTACACACCTTCACATACACCAGTCCTTTTGATGGTAGTAGAGGCGATTGCTGCTGTGAATTCTACCCTTACCATCAGTTTCAGTACGCCTGGATTTGAGAAGGCATTAAGACTGAGTGGGCGGGTAGAGAGGGAAAAGAACAGAACATTCCGTTTGGATGGGTCTTCGGTCTGCACGTGGTGACCAGGAGGCCTGATGAGTGGGAGTTGTCCAGGAAGTGGATCTGCAGTAACCTGCCCAGGCCCCGGGTCCGTTCGGTGAGAGCGGTGAGGACTGGGAATGGTGGCAGGGATAGAACACCTTGGTCCCTGACTCCCCTCCTGGAGATAGATGTTCATCCACAGGAGAATAAGGAGCCAGCTTTGTAGGATTGTGGGCAAGATACAGTCACATTTTGTGACCATATGGGCGCATGTTTCATGAGCAGGATCAGGAATGAAGAAAACATTCAGGACAAGGAAAAGGCACAGAAGAGTGGATGTCTGTGTCTGTATATCCTTTCTCTGTGTGTGTAAGAGTGGATATACAGAAATTGACCTTATGATAGCAGTTCTGAAATACATGCATTCATATATAATAAACTCTATTTTATTTTTTTAAGATTTTATTTATTTATTTGACACAGAGAGCACAAGTAGGCAGAGTGGCAGGCTGAGGGAGAAGCAGACTCTCTGCTCAGCATGGAGCCCGATACGGGGCTCAATCCCAGGACCCTGGGATCATGACCTGAACTGAAGGCAGATGCTTAACAACTGAGCCACTCTGACACCCCAATAAACTCTATTTTAAAAACCCTGTCTAGAGGTGCCTGGGTGGCTCAGTTGTTAAACATCTGCCTATGGTTCAAGTCATGACCCTGGGGTCCTGGGATCATGCCCTGCGTCGAGCTCCCTGCTCAGCGGGGAGTCTGCTTCTCCCTCTCCCTCTCCCTGCCACTCCCCCTGCTTGTGCTCTCTCTGTCAAATAAATTAAATAAATAAATAAATAAAACTTCAAAAAATAAAAACCCTATCTATGTGTTTTCGTTGACACTAGAGATTCTATTTATGATTAACTTCCTTTTCCCACCAGGAATGTCTTGCAACTGATATCCATTATGCATTCTTGTATTATATGAAGTCAATTAAAAAATTAGCAGAAGTCACAAAAAGGAAGGTAATATGTATTCATGAGCCAACTATTCATAATTTCATGTATTTCAAGTTGAGCCACCCACCGCCTCTTCCCTGTTACGCAGGATGACCCACAGCAAAGTTGATTCCAGCGTAGTTTTGCTCTACTTCTCAGAACTGCCATGGCAGCCTTCTACTACAGTGCTTGGGGGTGTGCTCAGAAATTCAAATACATTTTGATATTTTCCCAAGCAAAACATAATTTAAGACAAATCTTTTACCAAAAAATCACATACATCAAAGCCAAATACAGATGATGTGGAGATATCCCATACAGCTGCCCCCTTCATTAGTACTAATAATTGGCTGACCATGCCCATGGAATCAACCCTCAGCCTTTGGGCCAAAGCCAGTGATAGCACCTGAGGGCCAGCAGCAAGCACTGTTGACTGTATTATACTTTCCGTTCACTACAGAGAGAGAGTTTACAGGAAATGAAGTAGGCAAGTAGGTGAACATCGAGTGCTTCTTCCTGATAGCCACGCGTGCTCAATTCTTTGTGCTTGGAGATGTGACTGTGCATGTGTTGTGTGTGTTTAGTTCTCTTTTTTGAGAGTTAGACTTGGCTGTCAGGTGTCATTTGCTTCATTCTTCCTTAGTGAATTTATCCTTAAGATTTCCTTCTTTTGTATATTCCTAAGTACTGTTGAGGGCATTTAGATAACATATTTATACTGTTGATAATCTGAATTAATCAGTTTATATTGAATGGAATTTGATTGCAAATATATCTGTTTCTGATACGTGACCCATTTTATTTTCAGAGAGGCCAGAATTTGTTACTAGTCTTAGAAAATCTCTATATTTTGTCATAGTCATGGTGCTCTAGAATGTGTTTACACCAGTAGGAATCTTAATTCCTCCTTTACTATCGTGTTTGTGGATTGAGAAAGCTAAGCATGGAGACAACACTTTCCTGTCCTGGGGCTCTAACCTTTAAACCTATTGCTTCTAACGACTGGAGCTCAGAAAATTCCATGAAGCACATTTCAGTGAACTGTTCACTACATTAGAATCTCTTTTTTTCCTTTGCAGACCCTTCATGTGGCCTTTTAAAATATGTGTTTGAGACAGAGTGAATGTAGAAGCTGAAAATGCCTGGAAGATTTCTGGTTTCTGTCACTAGCTGTCCTGCCTTTTTGCATCACCGCCTGATTTGGATGATGTGATATTCAGAGGGACGCCTTAATCGAAGTCGTTCTTCAGCGAGTTTCCTCTGGTGGGAGGTCATAGACTTGATTCAAGATGGCCAGTCAGCCGCCAGACGACACGGCAGAGGCTCAGGTCTCTGACGAGCTCGAGTGTAAGATCTGTTATAATCGGTACAATCTGAAGCAGAGGAAACCCAAAGTGCTGGAGTGTTGTCACAGGGTTTGTGCCAAATGCCTCTACAAGATCATCGACTTTGGGGACTCCCCGCAAGGCGTCATTGTCTGTCCTTTCTGTAGGTTTGAGACCTGCCTGCCAGATGATGAAGTCAGTAGCCTGCCCGATGACAACAACATCCTGGTAAACTTGACTTGTGGAGGCAAAGGCAAGAAGTGCCTGCCCGAAAACCCTACCGAGCTGCTGCTGACACCCAAGAGGCTGGCGTCTCTCGTCAGTCCTTCTCACACTTCCTCCAACTGCCTGGTCATAACCATCATGGAGGTGCAGAGGGAGAGCTCCCCATCTCTGAGCTCCACTCCCGTGGTGGAATTTTATAGGCCTGCGAGTTTTGACTCTGTTACCACCGTGTCACACAACTGGACTGTGTGGAACTGTACATCTCTACTCTTCCAGACGTCTATCCGGGTGTTGGTTTGGCTGCTAGGTTTGCTCTACTTCAGCTCCTTACCCTTAGGGATCTACTTACTGGTGTCTAAGAAAGTCACCCTTGGGGTCGTCTTTGTCAGCCTCGTCCCTTCGAGCCTTGTTATTCTCATGGTGTATGGGTTCTGCCAGTGCGTTTGTCACGAATTTCTAGACTGTATGGCACCTTCTTCTTAATTAATATGCAGACTAAGAAATTTGACACACATTGTCATCCTTGAAGTTAGGTAATTTATCATTTATTTATTTTATATTCTCCGTGACTTAGTGTCCATGACGTTAACAAAGCCATTGGCCAAATGTTTGTGGTCTGTTTTTCATCAAAATTTTGACTCAATTGGTTTTCCTGTATGCTGGACATAAAAAAAATGTTCATTTCTACTTAGGTGTTAGCAAAGACGCAAAAATGTATAAGCTAAGCCTTCATAGAGCTCTTCCTGTGAGTCTGACCACAGAAAGGGCGGGATTTCATTTCATCCTGCTGGACAGGCACTAGGGGGGAGGTGTGTTGGGCTGTAGTAGGGGTCTTTGTGGCAGGTTACGGATGAACTGGTTCCTCTAATCCTCGATAATCTATGATGGAGGGTGGACACAAGAGGAAAGCTGTTCCAAGACACATCTACTTGAAAAATGTGACCTGTCCCTCCCCTGCTCCCCCTCCCACATCTCCCTCCCACACACCTCCTGCACCCGCTTCCTGCACCCCCTCATACCCCCCTCTTGCACCCTCCTCCTGCATCCCCCTTCCCGCACCACCTTCCCCCATCCCCTCACACCCTGGTCCTCCACCCCCCTTCCACATACCTCCCACACCCCCTCCAGCACCTCCTCACACCCCCATCCTGCACCCCCCTCCCCGCACCCCTTCCCACACTGCTCCCGGACCCCCCTCATTCCCCTGTCCTCCACCTCCCTCCCACACCCCCCTCCCGCACCCCTCAAACCCCCGTCTTGCACCTCCCTCACGCCTCCTCCAGTACCCCCTCACACCCCCATCCTCCACCCCCTCCCACATCCCCCTCCTGCACCTCCTCACACCCCCATTCTGCACCCCCTCCCCGCACCCCTTCCCACACTGCTCCCTCACCCCCTCCCACACCCCATTGTTGGCTGTCCCCTGAATCTTCTTCAGGTGTTCTCTTGCAAGTTAAGGCCACTGTCTGTGGTCTGGGGCTCCATTGAGGTGCTTCTTCCTTCTGCACATGCTCCTTCGCCAAGAGGAAACTCGGCCTTGTGCCCTTGTGTGGTTTCAATTAAATACCTGTTTTGCCACATTTCTGAAGAGAATTAAACATACTGCGGAATTTGCGTCAAAGCAAACTTCATGGCAGAATATGGCTACTTGTCTTTGAGCCCCTTTCCTCCATATTTATTTTCTTCTCTCCTCCCTCTTCTCTGAAATTCTCACAGAGCAGTTACAGTTCATGGAAATCTTCATTTGAGTCTTGTCCTCAAACAGTTTAGTTGAGTTTTGTTAACCACCTTGTTCAACAAGCCCCACCCCTTATCCTGGATGAGGTTCTACTTCAATTAATTGTTAGAGGCATATGAGGATTTCTGTCCCCCCCCCCCATTGTATTTCAGATTCTACTAGGGACTTATTTAACTTAATCCTATAACAGTTTGGGGTAAATTGTGGCAGTGGAAACCCAGAAATAATTATTGAGATGTTCTAGCTCACAGATGGAAGTGCTGAGAACCCAAGTATTCTTGCTGTACTGTGCTGAATTGTACCAGAACATAATGGTTTAGGCTTCTGTGCAAAATGGGGTTGCACTTGGCCAAAGCGATGGGCAAGGAACACACAGAGCTGCCGCGCTGCTTGAGAGGACCCTTCAGGGCAGTCAGATGGAGGTGGCAGAGCTCAACTTGACGTGTTGCTCTTCCTCTTGTTTTAAAGTCCATTTTAGCATGGAGTCACGTTCTTACATAATTTATTTCAAATAAAAGCCTAAGCTGTGTGACTTGAGTTAATGAACTCCTTTTCATGACGTAGGGGAAGTTGAATGTATATATTATGAGAAGAAATTGTTTAGCAGATTTTAGGTTTGAGGGAATAGAATGTCCACAGAAACTGGGCAAAAAAAAAAAAAAAAGCTTTTCAGTTCTTAAAACCCATTACTGACGATTAACATTAAAATATTTATTACCATTAAAAAGGGCATTACTAAGATGACTTCGACCTGTTTGTGATGAAGCATTTATTGTGTGACACAGTTGCAGTGGACCAGTCCAATTTCTTTATTCAGGAGGAATTGACACTTATTTTTAGAATAGTAGTTTGATTTTAATCTTCTAACTCGTGACTTCGAGAATATGTATGCCCAAGGTGAGTATGATAGGAATCCATACCTGGGGTGTGGTCCAATGAATTTAAGCCCCAAGTTATAACTAAATACATTTATAATTTCATAAAATCTAGGTTAGATAGCATTGTGAATGCAGTTTCCAAAAATCCATTTGTACTTAGAGTAAATATAATGTTTAGGAGGTGTTTTGTGGTTTGGATTTATATATTTATAAGGTTTTTAAAAAATGTTCATTTTGTCTGACATGTAACATCAAATAAATTGAGTTATATGATGAGATTTCTAGAAAGCTTTGGATGTGGGTACTGTGTATTTTGCTTATTTGTATAATGTCTGCAGTGCTAAATTTGTCTTTCTTTGTATATTGTGATAGTCTTTTTTTTTTTTTGGTTGCCAGTAAATTAATTTGGTTTTAAATGTAAAGCAACAAAAAACTCTTTATGCTGTTGAATGAAAACAGGACACTGCTTCAATATTTTATTCACTGTGATAATATTTTGTCTGTCCATTAAATTATTGTTTTGACACCAGAAGTTTGATTTCTCTGACTCATGGTTGAGATTCAGTTATTACTTTGGATTTCTGTTAATGTTAGATAATTGCAAACCTGAACTTTCAGAAACTCTGATGAAGCTAGTGCTTTTATCAGACACATGAAGATTTCAGAACTTTCTGACGAAGTTGATCTAACTGGTGCCATGTCTAAAAGGCCTTACACTTAAAAACCAAACCAAACCAAACCAAAAACAAAACGGGAGGGAATTTGGGAAGACAAAACAAAACCATTGTCTTTATCTTTATAAATAAAGTTTTTGGTTTTAATTTGTTTGATTTATTTTCCAGAATCTGCCTAGGTATTCAGCAAAAACGGTATCCATTTTAGTTGGGGAATCACTAGGCTTCTGTGATCTGGGCAAATTTTTATAATTACCCGATCTTTAAATATGACCATTGTTAGGCAAAGTAGACATCACTTGGGAGTATGTAACAGTTTATGATAATAAACATGTTTATGATAATTAGTGAATTGGCACCACATGTTAATCAAGAGTAATGGTTTTCACTCACTTCTGAAATTTTTGCATAAACGAGCAAGGAATGTGGTTAAGGAAAGGCATTACCTGCACTAGTCATAACTTAGATGAGTCATGATTACCCGCTGAGAGAGACACAAGTGATGAGCATGTGCCTAGTTGTAAACAGACACCCTGACTTTGAAGAAATGTTCTAATATGTCATCCAGGTAGATGCAGATGCCAAAGGCAATGCTGTATTGTTAGGGAAAGTGATACCATAGTATAAGGACCACCTCTGTGAGTCCTGGAGTACAGAAGGTGTGAAAAAGAGTTAACCTGAATGGAATGAGGGCGAACTACAGTTCTCTGGTTGAGACTTGTTCCTCTTCTTGGCAAAAAGCAAATACCTGCCTTAACTCGTTAGAAACACCACAGAAACACCACCTATTATTCCAGAGCTTTCCTTAAAGCCAATGGAAGACTTGGTTACAGGTAAGATCTCTGAAAAAGTTTCACCATTGGCTCTTGAAACTTGAATCGTGTGTATTTTCCACATCTCTGCCCGTTAGATGTTTACTTCTCAGCCTCTTAACAGTTTATGAATTTTTACTCTTCTGTGGGGAGCTAGAGGCTTAGTATCGGGTCTACCCTGACAGGTTTACTTTTGTGTAAAAGATTTTTTTTTTAAAATGTATGCGGATAACTGGATGTTGAAGTTTGTATAAATTCCAAGTGAGTCCTAGAGGCAATACAGATGCAACTCAATTGCTTATGTCATGTAAATTTGTGGTATAGTCGAAATCTCAAGTATGCTCAGTATACAGATATTTATGGTTTTTGACATGAAGGTGCTTTAAATTTAGGAATTAAAAAAAATCAGAAGTTAAATTATGCCCGGCCCATTGTGTATACTAAGTAGGACTGTGTGGTAATGTAGTTTTAGAAGTGGTCGAAGCTTGATTTAATGAAAACATTCACTTACCTGGAACAATCACTCTACAGGCATTTTTAATCAGCCAAGAGTTTATTAGATTTGCATCATATTAACATTTTCCCTTTAAACCAAGATGGTGGGAATTTTATAAGAGAGAAGAATGTGCTGTGACTTCAGAGGTCATTTCAGATCTTGGTTTTCCCATAAAGTTCAGTGCTTTAGGTAAGAAAGTTTTTTGGTTTTGGTTTTGTTTTGTTTTGGCAGTATTCAGATCCATTTACCTCAGATCAGTGGTCTGGCCAGAATGTCTATGTTTGAGAGTCTTTGGTGTTTCAGTAGCAAACGGAAGCTAAGGAAGTAGAGAAATGGAGAGCGGGAGAGAGCGGAGGGTCAAGGTTGAGCTCTTTAAATGCAGCCCGAGCCCCAGGAAAGAGAGCTGCAGACATTGGAGGACGTGTGCTCACAGGTGCCAAGAGCTAAGAGGCGGAATTAGCATGATTAGATGAACACAAACGGAAGCAGATGAGGATTACTTTATTGAAAAAAAGGCTTGTCAAGCTTTTCTCATGAACAAAAAATTCAGAGAATCTCATAATTATCACTGATACACTCACCTCTTAGAGTGGGCACTTAACCTTTTGCCATATTGGTTCCCCCCCAAAAAAATAAGAGACCTCCTCTAATTTGATTAAAATAATCATTATTATATCTAAGACAAAAATACTTCTCTAATTGTTTAATATGCAGTCTCATTAAATTTTTCTAGTCCCAAAATATCTTTTATAGCTCAAAGCACAAAACACAAGCCAGGCGCTAATCAAGAGTCACACGTTGCATTTGGTTATTATGTATTTTATTCTCTTTTATGCCAGAACAGTCACCCCACTTTGTTTTCCCCATGATGTTGACTGCTTGAAG